CTTTGTTAGATTGGACAATTTGTCTAGTTCAACTCGTTTGACACCTCTGCCTATTGAAACATTAATAATGTTGACAATGAAAACAGATGATACCATGTTTGCTTTCACATTTTATTTCTATAATTCTATCAGTTCTTGACCATCAAGGAGATTTGGAACATTTAGCCCCCGTTTGGCACCCATTAATTTCTCATTCTCATTCCCATTCTCATTCTCATTCTTCATTTCAACCACACATTCTCCAAATAAAATACTATTATACACAAATCAAAAACTTTTCATCACTTTTCAACCACACATTCTCACATCAATCACTATTCCAAAATTTCTATTCTCCTCAAAATTAGATTCAAACACACCCTAAGTATCATTGAAACGGTGCAACAAATAAAAATTGTATCTAATTAAGCCCCTGTTTGTCTACCATTTTTCAAAACATTGTTTTCTACAGTAATCAATCTTTACCACACATTCAAATAATAAAATATTCTACACATAAACCAATAAAGTTTCTTTCAATTTTAACTACATATTCTTCAAAAAATACTATTCAAAATATCATTCTTTCTCCCATAATGGGAGACAAACAAGCTCTAAATAGAAATTATTAACCCCACCAAAAATTTTGAATTTGCAATCACTCCCCTCTAGAAAAGGGTTTTTCTCTCCTCTTGTCCTATATCACTTGCACATATACCCTGTTTCACAGCTCCCTCCTCCGCCTCCTCCCGGTAGAGAGAGGAAAATCCACTCCTCTCTCTCTATAAAAATATAAATTTTTGTCCTCTATTTCTATCAATTTATCCATTAATAAGGAAATAAATCTATCTCTATATATAGTTATACGTAGATTATTTGTTTGTTGTTGTATAAGAGATTGTTTGGACGGCGTAAGATTTTTTTCCCGATTTGCGAGGTATGCAGACTGATAAAACGGTGTTGAGCTTGAGACCTGGAGGAGGTTCCCGCGGCGGAAGCAGAGTTTTTGGTCCGCGTTTCGAAGCGGCGGCGGCCAATTCTGATCTCCCGGTATTGCGTCCACATGGCGGTGGCGGTGCTCCTTCCTTAAAGGTTGAATGTTTTATTCTGTTTTGTAAGATCTAGGATTTTTGATCAGCTATGATTGGTTTTGAACCCAAAGTTTGATTTAATTTTTTGGTTTTCGGGATGTTGTTGTGTGTAGCTAATTTTTCATGACGTATAGTCATATGCGTGTTTTATTTGTATACACGTTTAACGAATCGTTTTGTTATGTAATGGTTTACCAACGAGTTAAATGTTTCATTGGCACTGAACTTTACACCTCGTTGTGACTTAAAGCTTCCCAATGGCCACTGAACTTAACTGCAATACACTGGCCACCAGATGGATTCTGTCTGTGGTTGTGTTTACGTGGGGATGGAGATGAAAATGTGTCGTGGCAGACTGGCAGTTAAAATTCTCCACATGTTAAGAGACTTGCACACATGGTCGTCAAATCACCAAACAATTCCTTACCTATATGAAATTAAAAATCTTTCTGCAAATTAACTCCAGAATCCCCCCCCACCCCAATACACCCAAAACCAAATCCACAGGTGGCCTTGCCCACCGGTAATTACCTTTTTTAATGCAATCTATATCACAAAACTTCTCTGGATTTCATAGGTAATTACCTTTTTAATGCCTGTATGTGTTTCAGCCGGTGGAGAAATGAATCCTAGGTTTAATTTATTTTGTGCTAGTTCAATTAGATCCTGGAATTTATGATGTGATTTTTATGGTTGTGGGCTTTCTTAATTTAGTGATTGGCTAACTTTATTGGATCTGTTAAAAAGGGTTAATTTATGGCGTCGAAAAGGATATTAAAGGAACTCAAGGATTTGCCTAAGGATCCTCCATTCCTCCTATATCATGTAGTGATGGTATACATTTCATCTTTTATGTGCTGGTAGAGATGGTGCTGAGAGGTGGCATTTTGCAACCGTTGCCAGAATTTTCTGGGTTGATTCGGTCGCCGAGTTTGATAAAGGTTCAGAAGCTAATAACATGGATTTGTACAGATCGCAAGATTTAAACTTGAGGGTTAAAAAGAAAGGTTTTGATGATGGGCAAAATGACCTAAATCTTGGTTTGACGGTGGGTTTCCAACGAAAATGACGGCAGGCAGAAGAAAAAATTGGCCACCNTAGTTAATTTGCAAAAATCATTTTTTAATTTCACATGGGTAAGGGTTTGTTTGGTGATTTGACGTCCACGTGTGTAAGTCTCTTAACATATGGAGAATTTTAACTGCCACATCATATTTTCGTCCTCTACGTAGATACAAACACAAACGGAATCCATCCGGTGGCCAGTTTAGTGCAATAGAGTTAAGTTCTGTGGCCATTGGGAAGCTTTATTATGTTCAGTGGGTAAGTCGTGACAATGTGTAAAGTTTAGTCGCCAATGAAACATTTAACTCGTTTACGAACAGATGATATGGCGAGATTTAATTAATTCAAAATCTCATCAATCAAATAACTTTTCCATTTATATTTTGACATTTTGTCATTATAAAACATTATATAAATAGTTATGTACAAGAAGCATTTTCCTTAAACTAATAGTATGTAAACAGAAATCTGTAAATCTCTGAGATTTTTTTTTTCTTTTTATTTCTCTACCTTTTAACTAAATTTTTGTCTATAAATCATTTGAATCAACATACACACACGCACACATTTATATATTCATGCTTGTATCCTAGACTTTTTTTCATGTGTTATTCATTTATAGAAGTATGCAAAGCTCTGTTGTTTTTTTTTTTTTTTTTCAATTTCTCTTTTTTAACTGAATTTTGTGTTGTATTATTCTGTTGCCTGTTGGTCAACTTCCATGCAGATTTGCACACATCCATAGATGTATCTGTGTACCGAGATATCAAAAAATTGTATAGCATTCAATATCTCTTCCTGGATCTATGGTTGAATTGAAATTCCCATTGGTTTTTGGTCATATTCCATCACTGGTAGAGCCATGAGACCAGTGGGGAATTCTGTAAGTGCATGATCCCTTTATCTCCGCCACCCAGGTTTAAATGTGCTGGGTTTGTGACAGTAGCACCAAGATTTGCTGTTTACTCAGTTGGCGGGAATGTTTAAAGTCCAGATCTTTTATTTGTTTTGTTGCTCCATTGAAATATGTGAATTGATGCACGTCTATTTGTTTACAATGTCAAAATGTTTATGACTTTTATTTTTGACTAAATTTAGCAATACTTCAGCACGCATAATTGTGTTTTGCTTCTCGAGAATGTTAATGGCTAAACATGATTTGGAGTACTGAAGAGATGATATTTAGATATCAATTAAATTTTCAACTATTTCTCCTAATTCTGGTGGCATTAAAAAGGTTATACCGTGTATGTATTTCTTGGGTACTTAAGTAAGCTTTAGTTTTTTCAAAATTTTATTTTACTTGTTTTTGAGCCTTAACCAGGGATATTGAATGGGAGTTGGTTATGTTTGACATCTTTAACTTTTGACAGTGCATTTAAGTTGTGTAGTTGCTCTAAATATGAACCTACAGTAAGAGATAAGCTCCAGGTGTGGATGCGAGGAGCATAAGGATATCTGTAAAGAAACACGTGGTTATAGAAACTGCACTTGGAAGTTTTGCTTGATATTATGGTACTGTTGGTCGTATAATATATAAGATTTGGTCTCTCTGTTCACCTGTGATGCTGGCTTTTACCACATTCTAATAAATGGGGTAGATATCTGTACTAACCATACATGTGAGGCCCAACTATTTACATTATCCTTGCAATTTCTAATACTTAGATGTGGAAAGAAGTTTCTTTTGTTGAAATGTGAAATTTCTTAAAAACCTTTTTTTATCCAAAATTCAAGTGTTGTACTTAAAGGTGGTTGAAAATTGTCACATCATAACCTTTCCAAGTCTTTGGTCCTCTTGTGTTCACAGTATCCACCACTACATATGGTAAAGTTTGCTTGATAGACCTCCATCATAATTTTGTGCAACCTCATGGTGGCATGTATTTTCGTTGGCAGTTTTTATCGTTTATTGTAAGCTGTTTACCACTCTATTTTCATATAAATCACAACCATGTCACTTTTGATTAGTAATCTGTGTTTCATTCACTTGTTATACTGATTGTTTATTACTGTTGTTGATCGCTACTGAAATCTGTTTCTTTTAATTACATTATAGACTGGAGAATACCGATTTGAGGGCCGTGAGTGGATCCGTTATACCCGAGAACAGCTGCTGCGGCTAAGGGAGGTAATGCTGCTTCTTGACATCATGCTTAAATGAGGTTCATATCTTTCCAGATTATCTTTTTCCCATATTAGATGAGGTTTATATCTTTCCATCTTCTGTTTTATCATTAATTCTGGTGGCCTGGCATCATAAACATTGCTTAAAGTTGCATCATAAACATCGCTTAAAGTTAAATCTAGATTCTCTCTCTCTCCCCCCTCTGTTTCTATTTGCCTTGCTTATGTTATCTTTCCAGCTTATGTTTTAACATTAGTTCTGGTGGCCTGGCATCATAAACATAGCTTAAAGGTGAATCTAAGTATCTCTCTCTCTTCTCTGTTTCTATTTCCCTTGTTTTATGTTGTTGCCTTTCCAGTGTCCGTGTATTTCTTTCTAGATGAACCATTAGGCAAGTTTAGGGCTGATTCTTTATTCTTATCTGCTCATTGGGCCATTTTTCTTCAGGGATGGAGAATGATGCATTTTGCTGTATTTCTATTGTTCTTTCATTGAGTAGTCCTTTCAACTGTCACGTACAGCATCCCTTAGATCTGCCACTTCTATTTCGTCAACCTTTTGCATGTGCACATAGTTATATTGTGTTTTTCACTATTGTTGAGATTTACTAGTTACATTCTTCGACACTGTCGTTAATTGCTTTCCTGCTGTCTGATATGGCTGATTATATTTCTGTAGGTGGTCAACATCTCCAAAGAAATTCTGAAAGTTAAACAAGAAGTTGAAGCTGAATTTTCTGGTACTGATCCAAGCTGGGGTCGTGGAGAAAGTAATGTGAGTTTGTATGGGCTTTGATCACAAAAACATCAGTCTTTCCTATTTTATCCAAACTTTTACAACATTGTTTGGTGTTTTTGTTTGTTCATTTTTTGTTTCTTGAGTATACATCTTTTTGCAATTTATAGAAATTGATGGATGCCATTAATTCATCTTTACTTTTTATTTTCTTGGTTGCATCCTTTGATGATAATATAATAGGATATGATTTGCTTTGTAATAGGTTCCAAATCTGGCTCAGGGTCGTTATTCTGAAACAGACAACCGTGACTGGCGGAATCGGCCTGCACAATTTCCTGTTCCCGCCGAGGAGAGATCCTGGGAAGTTATTCGAGACAGAGAATTTGGTGGCCGGTTTGATTCAAGGCAACAAGACGTAAACCAATACAATAGGCAAGAGCAACTGAGCACTCAGTTCGCTAGATCACAAAACCAAGGGGTAATTTAAGATAATCCTTGATTCTGGTGTTTTCTTTGCACTTGATCTTTGGTAGTATTTGTGGGTCCACGAAATGTGGATAAAAAGTAGTTTGGCCAATAATAAACAGTAGCCAAACATGTTCTAAGTATATGATTCCAATCAACAAGCTATCATGTCAGTTTCTTTTGTAAAACAGAGAAAAAAAAAATTATTAATGTTTGCATGAAAGATCTTGCAATTGCTATTCGTTATATCTTGTTTTGTTACTGAAATCGTTTAATCCATACTCGCGTTGTTAAATATTTCAATGCTTCGAAAATATTCTGAAGGCGTATCCTCCAGGCTTAAAATTTGACATAGATCAAATTTCATTCATATCTCATGCAGATCATGAGGTCAAATAAGTTACGCACATCCAATGAAGTTTAAATTATCGTGTCAGCTCATCCTCAAGATTCCATGGTTACATGGTCTTAAGGAATCACTGGTTTTGTGTGATGATGGAATTTTAGACCGTGTAAAGCTGGCAATTTGGACAAAGGAATCTAGAAATGATGTTGGATCAGATCTTACAAATCATGAACAATGCTTAAACCATTGGAAATCTTCAAAGAAACTTCTCTATTTATATAATCAAAAGCTTCTTTATTCAAACGCACTGAACTTTAGTTTGTATTTAAAAAGACTCTTAGTTGGATGCTTGCTTTTTCACCATATCAATTTTTTATCCTCTAGGATTATTAAAAGAAAAACTTGTTTCACGAAGCTAAAGTGGAGTACTTGTTTATGTTGTGGTATCTTTGGCAGGTGTGGTCGTGTAATGTTTTGTTTAAACAAAGATGAGCAATTTTTTGTTGTCTATGAAACAGGGAGGACCTACTTCTGCTCTAATCAAGGCTGAGGCACCGTGGTCTGCTAGAAGGGGAAATCTTTCTGAGGAGGAGCGTGTATTGAAGACAGTGAAGGGGTATTCCATTTTGTTTAACTATACTTATGGAATGTGCATAATGTCATTTTGCATTTTTGATAATATTTTTGATTGCTCGATCATCAAGCTTAAAATTTCAGACCACCTAATGGTGTTACTTATGGCAGTAATTTTTTTTTTTTTGATTGCTTGATCATCAAGCTCAAAATTTCGGACCATCTATTGGTGTTACTTATAGCAGTTCCAGCCTTGATCTGTCACCAGTGTGTTATGCTTGCTTGGCACATGCCACTACTGTGGTTGAGATCCTTAAAGAACAACCTTTTTCTTTATTTATTTTTTTAAACCTTTTGAAATTGACATGACAATGGTAATTAGATCGTTGCATGTGCTAACAGGACATTGCTTGACGTCCAATGTATTTATGAGCTTAGACTTTTAGTTAGGGGTGGCTTATAACCGAGAGCTTGGCTTGTGCTGAAAATATGGGCTCAGCTCGGCCCTAAGCTCATGGGTCTCAAGAGCCGAACTGCCCACGAGCCCAAACCAAGCCGGCTCATTTTTTATTTTTCATAATTAAATTAACAAAATAAGCCAAAAAGAGAAATTATTATTATTTTTTAATAATTAAACAAATTAGAAATGAAGCAAAAAACGAGCTAGTTCGTGTGCCTCATGAGCTGAGTGGCTCGTGAAAAATATTTTGAGCTCAGCTCAGCTCGTCTCAAAAAGATCCCGAGCTGTCCATTGCCAGCTCGGTCTGTTTGCCACCCTTACTTTTAGTTGTATAATTTCTGGACGTGCTTTTTGTGTAAAGAATTGACGTTACATACTATATTCTTGTTGTAGCATACTGAACAAGCTGACTCCTGAGAAATTTGATCTATTGAAGGGTCAATTGATTGATTCAGGGATCACAACGCCTGATATCTTAAAGGTCCTGCGTTTAAAACTAATTCCTGCATGGAAACTCTTTTTCTTCTTTAATTTGCATTGCACATTCCTTACTAGAGCTTATGTTGTCTTTCATTTCTGTATAGGGAGTCATATCATTGATATTTGACAAGGCTGTGCTGGAGCCCACATTTTGCCCCATGTACGCGCAACTATGTTCTGATCTAAATGAGAAGCTTCCCTATTTCCCTTCTGATGAGCCTGGTGGAAAAGAAATCACATTTAAGCGAATCCTTTTGAATAACTGCCAAGAGGCATTTGAAGGGGCTGACAAATTGAGGGAAGAAGTCAGGCAGATGACTGCTCCTGAGCAAGAATCAGAACGAAGAGATAAGGAAAGGTTGGTCAAACTCCGTACACTTGGAAATATCCGTCTAATTGGGGAGCTTTTGAAGCAGAAGATGGTTCCAGAGAAGATTGTTCATCACATTGTCCAGGTTTGCTCTCTCTCTCTCTCTCTCTCTCATGCGCACATGCTTGTGCCCTAGTTCTCACCTCTAGTACCCTCTCTACCCATTAACACACTCCTCTCGATTTGTTGTTTCTACCTTTTTTCTGTCTCATAATTTCTAGATTATCTTACGTAACATGGGTTTTGTGACAGCAACTCTTAGGACATGATACCAAGAGTTGTCCTGCAGAGGAGAATGTTGAGGCCATATGTCAGTTCTTTAACACCATTGGTAAACAGCTTGACGAGAACCAAAAATCAAAGCGTATTAATGACATGTATTTCAACGGCCTGAAGGAATTGTCAACAAACTCTCAGCTAGCCGCACGACTGAAGTTTATGATTCGTGATGTTATTGATATGCGTGCAAATAAATGGATCCCTAGACGGGAAGAGGTGAGCCTTCCCAGCATATAAGTACCCTTCTTCATGGTCTTTTTGGTTGCAAAGTTGGTCACAGGGTCTCCTACTCTTATTGTGCAGGTGAAAGCCAAAACCATCACTGAGATCCACTTGGAAGCTGAGAAGAATCTGGGGTTACGTCCAGGTGCTACTGCTAGCATTAGAAATAGTCGACCAGCTTCTGGTGCTCAAGGTAGTTTTAGCCCAGGTGGCTTCCCAATGAATCTGGCTGGTGCAGGTGGTATGATGCCTGGAATGCCTGGAACAAGAAAGATGCCTGGAATGGACAGTGACAACTGGGAAGTTGTTCCAAGGTCCCGGTCAATGTCAAGAGAGCATGTTTCAACAGCTCAACCTGCTGGCCATGCTCAGCTGCCACAATTTGGCAAGTCTTTAAACCAACAATCTCAAGGTAGTGGTGGTTTCGTGAGCAGTAGACCTAGTGCCCTCTTGCAGGGTAGTAGTGCACCCCCTCCGTCTCTCCCAGCTAATTACGGAGGATTTGGTACGGAACATGGATCTCATGCTCCTGCTCCATTTAGACAGGCTCCACCAGCATCAGTGGCACTAGCTAATGACAAACCAGTGGCCCCTGCCCCAAGATTGAATCCAGTTGAACTCAAGAGAAAGACAGTTTCTCTTCTGGAGGAATATTTTGGCGTCCGACTTGTGGACGAAGCATTACAGTGTATTGAGGAGCTGAAGTCTCCCTCCCACCATCCTGAAATTGTCAAGGAGGCCATTTCCCTTGGATTGGAGAAGAGCCCTCCATGTGTGGAACCTGTTGCAAAACTTTTTGAGTACTTGTTGGCCAAGAAAGTCCTTACTCCTAAGGACATAGCCACCGGATGCCTCATCTACAGTACACTGTTGGATGATCTCGCCGTTGATTTACCTAAAGCGCCAGCCAATTTTGGCGGGATTATTGGGGGACTCATTTTGGCCGGCGCCTTGGATTTCAAGGCAGTCACAGAAATCCTGAAAACAATAAGCGATGACTACTTCCAAAAAGCAGTATTTAGCTCCATAATGAAAATTATAAGCTCTAGCCCTACTGGAAAGGGAATTTTGGATTCACAAGCATCTGATATTACTGCCTGCCAGAGCTTATTTTAGAGCTGCTATACTTTGTTCTTGTTGGAGGTAATGCTAGTGTGTTACAAACCATTAGAGAGACAATTATGAAATGAAAGATTTTGGTTCTCGGGTAGGCTGTGGCCTAACCATTGGGCCATTGATGCCCGAGGAATGAAGAGTCCTTTATATGACCCCCACTTGTTTTTGTATTTCATTAGTTTTTCATTTATTTGTTGAGTTGACTTTATTATTTTGTTAATCTTTCTTCATATTTCCATTTTTCTAACGAGAATGCTATTATTTTTTATTTATTACTCCCTCCGTCCCATATATATAGGCTGGGTTTCCTTTTTTTCTTGTCCCAAATATATAGGCTTGTTTCTTAATTGGGAATGTTATGTTTTGTTCTTTTACTAATTTACCCTTATTTAATTTGCCTAATTACTAATTCCAACAATAATTTACTTCTAGTTGTTGAAAATTAAATAGGGATAAATTTGGAAAGTTCTTGATAAAAATTGCTTTTCCAATAACATTAAATAAGATTTCTTAATCCGTGCGAAAAATGAAACAAGCCTATATATATGGGACGGAGGGAGTAAATTTTACGATTTCTCCATCAATTAAATATTTATTTATCTAGTTAAACTCTATTGAAAATGATTTTTATCACTTCCATAGTTTCATTTCCCCTTCCTCGTCTTCCATTTCCGGTTTCGTGCAAGCGAGTTGTAGCCTCCAATTCAAATCGAGGATGAGTTTTTGAGGTTAGCTCCCCCTCGAGGGTCGTGACCCTTCGTCCCGATTGTTGTAGCACGTGTGTCGTTCGGGGTATAACGGACAGGATGACTTAATGTCATCTTCACTTTCCTTCGGCTCATCAAAGGTAGTTTGTTCGGCATTTCAAACTCAATGATGATAACTAAATTAGGGCGATGCGCCTGTTGTGCTATTCTTTATATGGAAAAAAGTCACGATGAAAAATGTTTCCTCCAATCTCCATACTGCAACCGTGAGAGAAGTCCGCTACTCAAATCACTTTTGAGCTGAAACATAGCAGATTGGGAAACTTTCGCACGTCCCTTAGCAATAGTGAAAATATAAAGAAAACTGTTAAAGGCTACCTCTGTGTAAATATTAAATACGACCAAAGCTCATTCCCATACCCAAATCTCGTCCCCAATGGACACCCAAGCACAGCAAACGAAGGGCGATGCAAATCAACACCTGAAACTCGCGATAGCAATGGCGATTCTCAAATACAAGCGACTTCAGAAGCCCAATGATGGTGATCCTCAACTTCCTTGTAATAATGCATCTGAATCGGACGTCATTAAGTGGAAACAGAAGGTGAAGTTTAACTCTGTATATATTGCTTGTGTGCATGGATCGACGATTTCAATGAATTGACTGAAATGCTGATTCTAGAATTTGGAATGTTTAGGCCAAAGAACGGAAGGCTGAAATTCTCAGACTTAAGGAAGATCTCAGACTCGCTGAAGGTTAGGCCACCCCTTTTTTATCATTCATTTGTACATAATGCAGTCACTGTGTGTGTGTGTGTGTGTGTTTGTTTGTTTGTTTGCGCAAAAATAACACTACTACGATATATTGATAACAGAAATTGAATTTTTGGTGTTTGGTGATACTATAAATTTTACGTTAGTTTATTTGAAGTAGATGGAATTCAGTATGATGTATTTCCACAAAGTGCATCGTGCAAATGCTATTTCTTCGACACTTTTGGAGAATTAAGCCCTAAGCTTTCCGATGATGGTTCTGAATCCAATCAATGGAGATTTAAGGATGTGCTGCGTCGGAGATTTCTTAGACAAGGTTTTTTTTCTCACCTTTTACTCTTCAAACCTTTCATGTTGAATGTTATATCTTCTAATCAAAATTTTCCACGTAGTTTCTAGTGCTGTTTGTCTTTTTATATTTCTTCTTTGCTAAAGTTCAATTAATTTGGACATTTGCAGTGAGATTATGTGAGAGAAAGAGAAAACGACTTGGTGGCTTGACAGAGCAAACATGTATTTCAGGTGAAACCGCAATGTAATTCATTGGTTATGTGCATATACCCTGCTAATTTACCTGATTAATGGGAAGTGCTTGTGAAGTACTCGAGATTCAGTAATTTGAACCACAAAGAATTTGAACTGTTTGTTTTAGATATATAAACAATATATATTTTTTCTTGATGAATTCAGTATTCTTTTTATATGGGGTCATTGATCGCTGGCCATCCTGCATGAGAGGATTTCTTACAATGTCCGAATATTTATTCTAATCTCTTTTAATAAGATAGAAATACTTGAAATGTGATAGCAAAACTTGTATTTTTGCTCATCCTTGAAACCAAGGAGTATTTGTTTCAATGAGCATGCAACAGGGCACAGGCTAAACCCTTCTTTCACTAGAAAACAGGAGAAATTCCACGGTGAAAATCTACAGGGTATACTTGTTTGAAACTTTTGCTTGTATTCTAAAATTATCAGAAAATTAGAACTCAATATTTTGTCCAATCATAAGTGTCCTATGTGTGTGTCCCTCTCTCTCTCTCTCTCTCCCTCCCCCTTTTTTTGTTATTTTTATTTTTCTTCCTGTTAATGTTTATGTTGCAGATTATGCTAGTGAAAATGAATTGGAACAACTGAGGGCTTCTATAGATTTTCTGGTGGAACTTTGTGAGACTGTCTCTCCTCTCAGAGTGTGGCTCTGTCTATTCTTCCTTTATGGCTCAATCTAGTTTTTCATGAATATGATAAGTTGAACTACCCTTTTAGTACCATTGTTCTGGATATTCTTTATCCATATTTTGCAGGTCGAGGAGAGTAATTTTAAGAACTGGTCACACGAGGCCGTTGAATTCATTCTTGGTAGGATATTTTCTTTTCACTTGTCCTTTTTGTTCCTAAAGCGTGAACCACAGTAAAATTAGGAGCCATATCTACTTTTAAATCACCAAAGTGATGCATAATGCCCTCTATATGGAGATGAACAGAAGTATTAACTGTGTAGAACTGCAATAATTGCTAATCTTTCTTTTCTTGCTTGTGGGGTAAATTCTAGACGTTGGGTGCTGTATACCAGTCGGTGCTATATCTCATTTCTCAACTCAAATATTACGAGCTGCAATGGGGCTGTAATTTACTAGATGAGTAACTTTGGATGGATCTTTCTTATTGTGCACATTTCATTCATAAACCATTACCTTGTATGAACACGAGACTAAAGGATTTTTGAAAAGTAACTAATCAGACTTCTTCTATTATGCTGTTCTAAATCTTGAAAAGAATAGCATCAGTAAACAAAAGCTTTCAAACTCCTTTGAAAGGCTTATCAATAATTAATATAAGAATATTTATTTTCTTGAATTCCTGGTTAGTTTTCTGTGAATATGATCATTATATTTTTTCCGAAGCTACATGGTTTCTCTATTAGGGATAAATCAGACTGCATCATGAGTTCTTCCTAACTTGTGTCCGCTCTGTCCGTGGCTTTTTGTATTGTCTTGTCTTTTCTTATTTTTGTTCCAAAATATAATATTACCTATTTCAATTGTCTTGTGCTACTGATTTGGTTTTGTGAAGACACATTAAACACTCTGTCATCAATGGGAATGGAAGAAGTAGCCATTGAAAGAAATATCAGCAGCTTAATCATGCGTTTGGTGAGAAGAATGTGTAATACACCAGAAGATGGTAAATCTTTAATTGTAGTTCTACTTAAATTTTATGTTTTCCATTACATTTCTGTCATAGTAATTTTGCTTCTAGATGCATTGTTATAATTAGATACATTTTTCCATAACCTCTCCCAGCAACAGGAACCAAAAGTTCTATGGGTTTGACAAATGATTTCACTTCAGTTTATTTGATCATTTTGCCTCTAGTACTTGTCAATTTCATCCAATTAATTTCTTTTTCTGTTGTTTAAAATTTCTATTTTCCAGAATCACACCACTCAACCAATAATGTCCAGTTCTATGTTCAGCATTTACTGCGTAAGCTTGGAAGCAAGGCTTATGTTGGCCAACGTGTGATCCTTTCTGTTTCTCAGAGAATTTCTATAACAGCAGAAAGTTTACTCTTCATGGACCCATTTGATGATGCCTTCCCCAAAATGCATAATTGTATGTACATAATGTAAGATTTGCTTTATCATATATGTCACATTTGTGATTAACATTATTATTGATTGAATCTTCATGTTTTTTAGTTTCATTTGATATGACTCTAGATTATTTTGATAGCGTTTGAATAGTTAGTAGTTGTATGGAATCCCTTTTTACTACAGTATCTTCAAATTGAGTGCTTTGGGAAAATGTGATGACAACCAATTGGCTATTACATTACTATAATTTACACTATAATGGTTAGTAGATTGTTGTGCAATATGGCTGTTTACTTAGAGGAATATCTTTCTCAGTACACGTGTTTTACATCTGGCTAAGAAATCATATCTTTCTCAGGACATATTTTGAGTCTATTTAGAATAATCTTTTAGCATAGATTTCATGCATTCTTTTTGTCCGAATTTGGTCTTTCTATCACTTTGAACTCCTGGGTTCAGTCGCTGAACTAAACGTCACCAATTGTGTTTACTTCTTTAGATATCTCAAGTTCTTGAGTTATTATATCCATTTGAAATTTCCTAAATTTCTTGGTTGAATTTGAAAATTCGCACTATTGAATAGGTAAAGAGCTCCAGTGTTTTGGTTGGTATCTTAACATCATTTTCTAAGAAGCAGGTGATTTGATATTAGCAACTTCATCCAAAAGTTTAAGCTATATGTTTTATCTTTGACATCCTCTGCTGTTTTAGTCGTACATTTTTTAAATCTCTCTTTCTTTGGTATTTTCATTTACAGGTTTATAGCCTGTAGTAACACTTTTGCAATTCACGAGTTCACATTAATTATTTTCAGTCCTTTTGGATGATAATGCATGCTTGGTCTCACAGTGCCTTCACGTGCATACAATATGATTACAAAAAGTGAATGGACTTATCATTTAGCATTTCTCAGGTTTCTTTGACACAATTGTGATGTAAATGGCAGGATCCAGCTTATTGAGTTTCTGGTTTCAGAATACTTGCTAACTTGGTCAAAGAGTGAAGCCTTTGACTTAAGTATGTGTTTTTCTTTCTAGCGTTACTTATTTCCTCAGCTCATCCTCATGACCATACATGGTAATTGCAACAATCATATTACTGCAGATGTGTACAAGACTACAAGTAAAATTTGATTTAGAACCAACATCCTCGCATCATTCTTGTTCCTGAAAGTTTTAGTTGTTATACTATACAATTAGTATCAAATTGATTTGGTATGGTGTAACCATGTAGAGCTTTTGGAAGAATGGACGACATCTCTTTGTCACGCTCGAAAAGCCTTGGAGCTCCTGGAGAGCAGGAATGCACTGTATATCCTATACATGGATCGCATAATCGGGGATTTGAGTAGACAATTGGGTCAGGTTTCCTTCATCCAGAAACTAAAACCAGATATTCTTGCTAAATTGTTTAGCTGACTCTTGCATTTTCTACAATGTAAGTTGACACGTCTCGAGTACATTTCAATAGATGATGCATTGTCTTATTTCTAACTCGTGGTTTGTTATAGAAAATTTCCAATTCTCACTATATTAAATGTGTTGACCTCAAAAAATACGCCAACAGACGTCCCTTCTACGTGAACATCATCTGCACATTGGAACCCACTGGTAGGAGGCAAATGCTGCCGGTCGAGAAAAAGATACGACTACCATTTGTACTTCGATGGTTAAGTCAATGGCCAGACGAAAGATAAAGAGAGTATAAGCTCATAAAACAATTGTATATATATATATATTGGAAAATGTAAATGTTCCAAGCTCATAACACAATTGTTTAATTAAAATAAGACCAATCGATTGAATAGTCAATGCCAGGTTGACATATATAGGACCTCCTTCGTCACATGCATGCCGTGTAACCTCTCTGGCACTCTTTTTATATTTCGTCCGGTCGTTGACTCGATCGTCGAAGTACAAATGGACGTCGGATCTTTTTCTCGGACAGCGGTTTTTGCCTCCTAACGGGGTGTTAATGTGTGCAGGTAATGCCCAACGCAGAGGGAACGTTGTTGGAATTCTATTGATGCATTTTTTGAAGTCAACAAAATGATTAATAATATTTCCTTGTCATGATTACACTTTTAATGTTTGATATGATAAATTACAGTTTTATTACATACATTTTTTTTTCATTCTTATACTTTATATTATTGTTATTCTAATAGCACATATATTACTCTTGATTAACATAACATGGAGTAATTGCATTATTTAATTCTACACAACCTAACTTACCAATTCGGAAAACCATGACATAAATATGATTAGTAGTCCATTTTAACATATCTACTCAAATAAGTTGCATCAGATTCAAGCATCGATAGTTTTATATATGTGGGGCTATATTCATACCACACAGGCTTTATAAATACATCATATTTTATTTAAATTAAAGATTTTTAATCTTTTTTCATTATTATAATTATTTTAAACTTTTTTTTTTTGTCTATTTTTTACTTTTATCATTTTATTGACTAGCAGACTTTGTCCATAATCATGGCTTTCATTCAAAAATAGTGCTATCGTGCCTCAAAATGTAAGATAAATATTTAGTCTTAATTTTGTATTTATTCTTTTTTGACTTATTTATTTAAGATATAAGGAACAAACGAGTCTTTTTATTTCATCTTAACAGAGTTTTTTTTTTGACATAAATCGTTATTGAGGATTAGTTATGTTAATTCGAGAATAAAAATGTAATGAAAAATTAAGGACATAAGTTGATAATTTGTAAAAAGTGTGATTCTTTTATGCAATTAAAATGTGTGTAATTATTAAACCCATGGTTGGTTTAGTTGAAAATCAAAATTGTTTAATAAATTTTAATAAAAATTGATAAAATATGTTGTTAAAATTAATTATTGATTTAAATTTAAATTTACAACAATCTTTTTAGCTAAACTAAACAGGAACCAAAAGCGTGGTCTGAATACATTTAGCCCAGAAATGATCTCCTATCTAGGGTGAGTAGGAGTTATCTTGTCCACCGCTGAACGCTTACAATTTTTGAAAATTTAGCGTTGAATTGTCCAAAATTGTAGGCTTGACCATTGACGTAACATTGCTTTTAGTAAATTTTGATAAAAGTTGATGAAATGTGTGGTTAAAAAATTGATAGAAGTTGTGGATTCTATAAAATATATGGTTGAAAATAAATTTGGAAATAAAAGTTGTGGGTCCAATAAAAATTAAAGACCTTTAATTTAATTAAAATGTGATTGAAGTCAGGCAGGATATAAAGAGCAAAAGTGGTTGCAAGATTTAGAAATTGCTTATTTTCTATGTTACAAGCACAAAGCAACAACTAATAGCAAACTAATTACTAATTGCCAGTTGTTACTAACATATAATGTGTGTACAAAGTGCTGGTCTGAAACTAAGTATTCCTCTAATTCCAAAGGTTTACAGAAATCTACAGACTACAAGATGAGAAAAAAGCAAGCAAGAAGAGACTTTTGGAAGTTCTTATGCTAATAGGTCCCTTACCTTCACCAATGAAATTTTCAAAAACTCAATGCAACACTCTCCTGCCATGAAATTTTCCTCCTCCCCACACCGGTTGAACCTTCCCCGGCATTTCTACACATAGACAACTTTAAGTCGTTCTGGTCATCGTTTACAACAATTATTGCTTCCTCGAACTTTGATGGTTCAAAATTACTCAGGAAATCCTCATCCCCATTCTGTTGGAAAAAGCTTCGTTATAAACTTTTCAGTTAATAAATTTATGAAGTCAATAGTTATTAGTTACTTACCGAAACTTCATTTAAGTCGAAGAGAGGAACTCGACTTGGCATGCAAGCTTCTTTTCCACTTAGATCACTGTCCCGGTTCAAATCAAATGCGATGGTTGAGTTCCTGAGACCAACTTCATTAGCTCGGCTTATTCCTTCCTTCTGGTTCAAATCAAAGGAAGGGATCGTGCATTGCACTATGGTTTCCTTCCCACAGTTTATCCCTCCTCTGTTATTCCTATCAGAATCAAGAGTCGAAATAGGATGGCTAGCTTCCTTTCCACCATGTAATACTTGCTCACGTTTCAGATTATTAAACAGAGATGCACTGCGTCGAGAAGGTTGTTTTCCAACACTAAGTTTCCTGTTGGATTTTGCGTCCGGGATAGAGGAAAACTCACATAAAGTGGTTCCCATTCTGCTGAAAAAAAGTTCCTCCTTGTTCTTAGTTTGGTTAACTAAATTTAGCGGTGGTTCAATTTGCTGTTCTTGTGACGAGTTGAAAATCTTCGTTTTCAGTAGACATTTGTATCTTCGTCTTAAAAACCTGCAGATTACAAGGAGAGTCCAATTAACGCCAGAAGAACCAGTCCAACTGCATTTACCACACAGATTATTAGGATATGGAAATCTTCATCATACGGCGAAAATTGCATACCGAACTTCGGCTGCCAGCATCAGCTTCCTCTGTTTAGCAGCATCCAATTTATTTCTGATAACATCACCCTCCTGAAAATGGTATGATAATGAACTAGCCAGCTACCATCAACTACTGACTTCTTTATCAAAAAGGACTAAAATTCCCCAGAATTCGTACCCAACTATGACCTTTAAAATTCATCAAAATTCAGACAAATAGGGAGAACCTTATAAATATTCACCAAGGAAGAGAATATCTTACAACAAATATAATATGAATTCGCTTCTGGAATGGAAAATTCAATGGCAAAGGAAAATTGTTTTCAAAAGGACTTCAGTAAAATCTGTCATACAATATTTTGATCAAAACATGCAGAAACTACAAAACCAAAGAGCAGTACACAATAGAATTATATAACAATTCAAGCAATCAAGTAAACAACAAATCAAACTTCAATTTCCAAAATTTTCATTAATTTTAGAGTTGATTATATGAATCTTTATCTGCAGTTAAATATAAGGAAAACAGATCGAATTCATCAGACACTTTTGAACCACCAAAAAACCCCCCTAAAAGTGTCTCAAGAAAACAAATCGAACTTCCAATACCGAAACCTATACAAAAATGAAACAACCAGGTTCTTGAAATAAAGCAAAGAAAAACAGAACCACCAAACAATACCTTCTGCAACTCTCTATAGTCTCGCATGAGAGCCTGATGCTTGAAACTGGAATTAGCATTCTGATACAAACCAACACCAAAAAATGGTTTTGAATCCAAAGAAATCCCTTTCATCTTCTTAAATATCAGACCCGAAAAAAGTAATGATCAACTGATCAAGAAGCAGATGATATTTCTATGGTGATAGAGATGAATATAATTAAGAGGTGAAGAAGAAATGAAGAAAGGCTTTTGTATGAAGAAAAGCACGATATAATAGAGAGAAAGAAAGAGATAGAGATCAATAGAGGGAAGGTTCTTTCTCTGCTTCCCTGTTATCTCTGCGGAAAAACTCTCTGACCAAAACAAAGCACCCCAAAAGCCCACAAATTAGGCAAAAAAATTAATAATGCATTTCTTCTTGATAAGACAGTGAAATTGACGAAGATGGCTCTCTCTGTGTATATACATGTATATAAATCCATTGTTTTTGTCATAAATTTTGGTCCAGATGGGGCCATGGGAGAGTGTTGGATGGCGTGGATAGACTCTTTCTTTGTTTTTGACGAAGAGGGTGCGTGAATTTTCCTCTTCTTTTCTTTCTGGTGATGTAGGCATAGGCATATACAACGCAGAAATTGTGATATAAAGAGAAAAGGCTGAGATTGACCTTGAATAGGTGATGAAAAAGCAGTACACGCACGCACACAGTGTGTAAAACTATGAAGAGAGAGGAGGGAGGAAATGTGTTGGTGGTGTGTCCTGTTTTTAGGCTTTGGTAGGGGAGTTTTTAAGTGTACAACGAATTTTTCATGCGGACCTATTAATTGGTTTGCGATTGTGCTACATGTATATAACAACTTATTTAAAGATTTATCGACAAATGATATGACGAGATTTAAATGGATTAAAATCTCATCAATTAAATAACTTCATCACTTATATTTTGATACATCATCATTATGTAAATAGTTATGTATAAGAAGTATTTTTCATTGGTCTGTTATAACAAGTGAAAATATAATTTCAATAAAAAGAATTCGAGCCCCACCAAGGAACAAATTCATGGGGATGTAGCTCGACTGGCCCTACATGTGAACTGAACTGAACCAAATTGTAGGCAAGCCGAGCGGTTCAACTCGCTCCACATCCCACATAAGTCCTCAATCTATACTCGGATAACAATTTGGTTCCCAACTTTTAAAAATTTGTAAAATAATCTTCAACTTTTGTAGTTGAACAATAAAAAGACTATTCAAATAGAATTAAGCTAGTTGTACAACTAGTTTGACATCTTTTGAGGTGTCAAAATCGAGACTATTGATTTGAATAAGTGTTGTTAAAATCAATGGTAAAATCGTATGTCATGTCAAAGAGTGTAAACAAGGTTGTCAAGCATAGTACATCAAAACTGATTCGAGTATTGTTAAAATGTCACTTGACCTTGTGTGGAAATGTGTTTCACTTGTTCTATACATTATACACTAGCAATAGTTGAGAAATCGAATCTAAATTCATAAGTTGAACATGTGCTTCATGTGGCTATTTATTGAATAATTGAACATTCTCTTATTGAAAAATAATTGTATAACAATAATGAAAGTTTGAGATTGATTGGCTAACATCAAAAGTTGGGATTTGAATTTCTTCCTTTCAAAGATTAAAAACCAACTTGCTATTGCACATAAGTTTGGGACTAATAGTGCAAGTTTTCCTATATTTCATTGGACGCTACACTTCTTATTCATTATTTGCATTTAGTGTCCTCAATCTTTGTTCATTATAGTACTTATATTCTTAATTTTTCCCTGCATTTTTTTCATCAACATTCCATCATCTAGAGCATTGAAGATATTAAGAATTTAGTTAATCATGCACAGCGAAAAATTAATAATTTTTTCTATTCCTACCACGGATCTGCTTTGTGTTTAGAGAGAAGCTGTGTTTAGAATAATACATTTGATAAATTCTGCAAACTGTTTTACNCATTTGATAAATTTTGCAAACTCTTTTACTGATTCTCGAATTCGAATGATCACGATCTGCAATTCAAGCTGTCCAACCTCCAACAGTGATCCATACAGAGAACAAGAATGACAATTATGGTTTTCTTTTTTTGTGCTATCAAGAATAATGAATTATTTCATACAGTTTTCAAACTCTAGCAGCCTATTAATATAAATCCAAGCAGACTTGATCCGTCTATTAAACTTAACCCGGTCCAGTATTTAATTAATCAAATTAATTAAATATGATCCATAAATTAATTAATCCAATTTCATTTTCGTTGTCCCAGATTGACATCTAGCAATGTATCAGGGCAATACATGTGACGGGAAATATCACGTAGTATGACAAAACCAAACTTGTTCGTTTACCGTGAAACTATAATCCTTTTGTCAATATGATCCGATCAATTATGAGATATGTATATGTGTCAATCTCAATTATCGATCATATCTTTTATCCCACCGTTAAGTCAATGTAAGTCGAAAACTCTTTTTTTTACTTATGAGTTCACCTTGGCCAAGGATTTCATTATCAACTTAACTTGATAAAATATAGATCATAATCTCTTACTATCTAAGAATGACGAATCTTCTATTGATCATTCACAATATTCATATGATTCTTGATATACCTGAACGATGCTGTATTAGCGATCCTGGCAGAGCAACATCCAATATCACCAAAGTATGACTGTCATCATATAAGATACTATGATAACCTCAAGTCAAATAACCAATTTCACTACCAAACGTTACATATTAACCAGAGACTCAGATAGTTATCCATGTGGAATTTCCCAACGGGTCTCCAATATTTTGTTCTATAACAAAACATCCACGTGTTCATTCAAATGTCACCACACTTTAGCTTGTGAGATCAGCTACTTACTTCACAAGTAAGAATGCCACACGCGATAGTCTATCCGTAATAACGAAATCCGTATCTCGTTATACCACTAACACTGAAATAGTTATTCATGTGGAATCTCCCAACGGGTCTCCAATGTTTTGTTCTATAACAAAACATGCACGTGTTCATTCAAGTGTCACCACACTTTAACTTGTGAGATCAGCTACTTATTTCATAAGTAAAAAATGCCATACGTGATGGTCTATCCGTAATAACGACATCCATATCTCGTTATTACATACGACACAGACGATTTAAGATTCAGTCATAAGTAATTTGTATCTCACAATCATAACTCTTTGTGATTAACAAATAACTAAAACTTGAATTTACGAATTCTATTATTTAATTTATTAGAATATTAATTTAATTAAATAATAAATATTATCATAAATACGCATTGATAATATATATTAAAAGTGTTTATGTTCCAAAGTTGATTGGATTTAGGACATAACACTTATAAATTTTCACTTACACTAGATCCAATCACTTATGTA